ACCACGAGAGCCGTTACGATGTACGTGTGCTAAATCTATGTAAAGATAATGGGACTATTTTATTGATATTGCCGCCGCATTGCAGTCATAAATTACAACCGCTCGACGTGAGTTGCTTCTTTCGATTTAAAAGCTATTATAACCAAGGAGTTGATGATTGGATGCTAAATCATCCTGTCATACCAATGAGCATTTATGATGTTTGTAATGTTGTTGGTACCGCCAACTCTAAAGCATTCACTCTTGTCAACATTCTCAACGGATTTAGAAAAACAGGCATAGCACCCCTAAATTCCCAAATTTGTTCAGAGAGTGATTTTATGTCACCTTATGTCACTGATAGGCCCAAAGAAAATGAAAATGGAAATGGTAACGAATATAAGACTAACGAAGGTTTTCATGATGTGGAAGATGTTCAGGATGTAAAAGAACCACGACGTGTCAGACCAATTAATGGCCAATCCAATATAATAACCCCTCAGCAAATTAGGCCACATGTCAAAGTTGCTCCTAAAACAAACCTTAGGCGAAGCAGAAAGAAGCTACAGTCAGCAATAATATCAGACACCCCCATAAAAAATGCCATAGAGGAACAGCATAAAAAAGGTTTGTTAAAAAAAAACACTTTCAGAAGAAATAAAGCAGTAGGCTAAAAAAGTTAAACGTCAAGTTTTTAATGACGACATTAGTTCAAACACTGATGTTAGTGAAGAGATTTGCAACGATTCTAGCGATTTAGAAAGTTCACATCAGAAAATCAAGATTTGTCTATTCAAAGTCATGACTATGTTATAGTAAGATACATGACAAAAAAAACTGTTAAACATTTTGTCGGTCAGGTTGTTAATATAAGTGGAGATGAATATAATATCTGCCGTAATATTGTGGCCGGCAAATTTGTTTTCCCCGACAAACCCGATGTAGATACCGTAGAAGCAGAAGCTATTTTACTAAAGCTGTCCCATTCTGCCGTTAGTGGAAGTACAACATGAGCTGCTCACCAGTTTATCTTCCCTGTGATTTTTTTTTCAATTTAAAATAGAGTTAAATGGTTTTTTATTAAAAATCCCACTATGGATCACTATGATTCCCATAATGGACCATATAGTGGTTCATAGTGGGACGAGTGGTCCATAGTGGGACTTGTTGCATAACATTTATTATAAATAAAGGATTACTTGAAATTATTAATAGTTAGCTTTCTTACACTCATATCCATGCATAGATACCCTTACTATAATTTACAAACGCTTAATCAAGATGCTAGACACTTTTGAAAAAAACGTCCCAATATGGACCAGTTTTACCCTACACTATTACGTAGTTGGTAACTATGCAATAAAAACACAATAATAAACTAGTGACATAATAGTATATTACATAACGAGAGTTGTAAGAAGCTTATTACATGCGAGTAAAAAAGTTGCACGCGAGCCGCGTAGCGGCGAGCGCAGTAATTTTACAAGCATGTAATAAGCTTACAACTCAAGTTGTGTACTATACTTTTTCTACGATTATTTTCGTTTATAAAAATAAAAATTAAATTACCATTATATTTACACTGACAGATTAATAATTTTTAATCTGTCAAAATAACGTCTGTTAATTCGTTTCCATGGTAACTCGACCAACTGACTTACGAGGCTTATATGATATTACACATTTTTATAAAACTGAAGCGTAATTTTTTTTATTACGTGCTAGTCATTACGTGTCAGTATCTGTTATGATGCATTTACTTAGCATCCAAATAATAGGTAATATACAATTTACTAGTAAGAGTATGAGTAAGAGTACGAGTGGATAAGAGAGAAAACAAAAGTGAGGGATGTTAGACAAGAAGTTGCAAAATTGAAATGGAGATTTGCCGGACACAATATAAGACAAAAAGAAGACCGATGGAACAAAATTCTTATAAGTTGGAGACCGTGGGAATATAAACTAAGCAGAGGAAGGCCCCAAATGAGATGGGCAGATGATATCAAGAAGCACGTGGGCTCTAGATGGATGACTGTAGCGACAGACAGAGAAGAATGGAAAAGGATTGGGGAGGCTTATGTCCAAAGATGGACCGAAGAAGGCTAATAGATAGATAGATATTAAGAGAGTAGAAAAAGGTATTTTATTACAATAATTTTATTTGGATAAAACTTGACATTAGGATGACAAAACAATTATTTGAATACTGACAACTGTGACAACATTAAGAACACTAATTTGTATTACAAAATGCATTTCTAGTATTAGTTCGAAAAGAGCTCTACTGAGACTACTCTGCTCTCATTCCACATAACAAGACAAATATTGAATCCGGCCAACCATTTTTGATGAGATGGAAACTGTAGAGAAGAAGGTAATTTACTGGCATTCATTTAAACTAAGACATTGTATTTGAACTTGAGATACGCTTAATCTTTTAAATGATCATTTTGCCTTATTAACCTTGTTTTACTACACACCAAAAATTGTCCTATTTGTCTATCTGGGGTACAGGTGTACCGCATTTTTGCAAACACCTCTTTAAAAAAAAATAAATATACTTAGAAAAGTACAAAATGGTTGTATTATAATGGTTTCACATTATTAAATCTATCTATTAATTATTGATTTTAATTAATGCAACCTGGGAAAACTTTTGATTAATAGTTCAGACATTGTATTTTTTGGACTTCTTGCACGTTATCCTCGATTTTCTGTCTTATTTTCGTGTAAAAAAAGCGCATCTCCCGGAAGAAGATTTCCTTTGGTCTACATTAAGTATTTCAGGCACTCAGGATTTACTATTCATTCGTTAAGGTGGCGTCAAGAACATTTGGATTGAGATCGTAATGGCTTTTCAAATTCTTGATTACACTTTGGTCCATGGGCTGAAGGTCACTCTTTTTGTTTGCTGACAAGAAACAAAGTTCAATGTTTTAAAGGTAGCACAGTACAGAATGAACAGGACAATTGTCTACAAGCAAAATAATGTTTTCCCTTTAAACTCGAAACTCAATTTTCTTATCGCTTCTTTCAAAATTTCCGAAGTTATCCACGCACCCGTGTTTGCTTGATAGGTCTTTGTAGATTTTTGATGTTTTTAAAGCAACGTGGGTTTTTGACTTCCCTATCACTAACAATTTTCTCTTCAATGTACCTGTTATGTTAGCGGCCACTAAAACCATAATGCGTTCATTAGAGAGTTTTCCACTAACGCACTTTTCCGAGTTAAATTTTTAAGTTCTATTTAGTGTCATTTTAAAAAATAATCCAGTCTCATCAGCATTGGAAATGTCATCTGACACATATCGTGCCTTTAGTCCAGGACACACGTTTTCTAGCTAATTATCGTAGGTGGTTTTCCTCTATTATGTTTGTCTGTCCTTGGCCCCAATTTGTAATTTTGCTCGTCCATAGTGAGTCATACATTCTCGCTACATGGCCTGCCTAGTTCCATTTCAGTTCCACAACATCAGCAATACTCGTCCTTCGCAGATCTTCGTTTCTTATTCGGTCCCGCAAGGTCACCTCCAGCATAGACCGTTCCATTAGTCTGTCTCTGTGCCAATCTCATTTTCGAAGCCGTATCTTCGAGTTCTAGTTTTAATCAAGTTAATTCTGAGGCCCACATTCGAACATGCAAAGTTCAATTAATTTAACATATCTGTAGCTTTTCCTAAATTATCTGTGATAAGGACAATGTTAGTTGCGAAACGCAGATGGTTAAGCTTTTTGCCGTCTATTATTACTTCTTCTGTGGTCCTAATTGGCCATCGTAAAGGCATTTTCTAATGCCGTTATGAATAATTTCGGTGACAATGTATCTCCTTGCCTTATCCCACGTTTTAATTTTTTTTTTGGTCGGGTTTTATCGTGTATATTAAGTTATAGTAGCATTTTTGTAAATATTTTAAATAAGTTCACGATACCTATGATCAATCCTGCTTATATAAGGCTGTCTAACGAACGCTTTATGAAAATCTGAAAAGTGAGGACAAGAGGTTTGTTGTATTCTATAGATTTTTCAATGAGTGTCTTTACTGTATGGAGGTGATCATTGATACCATAATTTGATTAGAATCCTGCCTGCTCTCTCGGTTGGTAGAAATCTAATTATTTCTCCAATCTTGATGTCACTTACCTAGTGAAGAGATTTTATATGTGGTTCAATAGGCTAATAGGTCTATAATTCTCTAAGTCCGTTTATTTCCTTTATCTTTATTCAAAAGGATGTTTATAGCATCTATTCTTTGGGTACCTCTCTATGCTGCAAACATAGATTAAACAGTTTCCTAAATTTATTTCATAGCATAAATTCTTTGTAAAGTTTAACCGAAAACACTTTTTACTTTCGGCACGATAAAAATTTCAGTTGAGCGCAAAATAATAAATTAAGTATATAACAATTTTAAAACTTTCTCTGAGCTCCACTCTTGGGGGTACATCAAAACAATAAACGAAAGGTAAAACAACAAATTAAAAATGTGCCAGTTGAGAAATTCCCAGCCAATAAAAATAAAATTCTAATAAATTATGGGACAAAGATGGTTCGGTACTTTTACTTAAAACTTAATCTTGCTCAGTATTCATCTACGTAATATGCACTATATGACAGTTTTTCCGAAAATTTGCAAAAACTTGTTTTTGCATAAAATAAGCAAAATATGCTGCTTTTCTAAATATAGTAATAATAATACTACTACTACTCTAGTCTCTAGTAATAACACAAACAGATTGACCTTTAATTTCATCACGTATTAATCGCGAAAAAACATTTTTTAGAATGTCGTTTTATATAAGATTATTGAGGTATGTACAATAATTTGGCATATTTTAAATTCCGAGTTATATTTTTGTATATCTTTACAATCTCATCATTCGTTGCTATCCTTTTGGTGTCACGGCAACTACGGTAAACATGCCTACGCATTACCTGCTTATCCAAATGAAGACATTATTTCTAAGATGGTCATTTAAACAAACACGATTTATTAAAAATATTTTATTTTATAAAAAATATATTACACAAATCCTTCTTCTGTAAACTTAACATCACAAAAATTAACTTCTGGCATTAACTTAATAGCTTTGGTTAGAGTCATTCTACAATTATTCTTATCCTTTTTCAAACATATCCTAACATTGGGCATCCCAGACCAGTAAGTGCCACAAGAAATTCTCTCTTTCATTACATCTATGTTTTTAAAATCTCCTTCGTTCCACAACGTTATTAAGTTGGTTACAATTATCACCATATTGTGTTCTTTTGCTAAATAATGTAAAATATTTGCTGTGTAACAAAGAAATGCGTTATTTTCAGTTTGATCCGAGGATATGAAACATAGCGGCGGAAGGGAATCGATTATAACCAACTTTATCGGTTTCCCGTTGTCTGCAGAATGTTTTATAAACAGAAGATATTTTAAAAACTCCGATTTCGTTATTGCTCGAAGTACTTGTATTCGGCTCATACTTGCGATAATTTCTTCCTAAAAAATTTAATTTCGATCATTGTTGGTAGATCACTAAAAGTTTTGCACAAATAATTTAAGAAAAACATATGTTTGAGAAAAGAAAACGCATTTTATTTAAAAAAAATATCAAAATAAATAACGAAAAATCAGATTTTTGTATGCTTCGACCGCCTCATCTGGTGCATTAAAACGTTTACCGCGTAGTTTGTTTTTCATTCTCGGGGACGTAAAGAAATCACACGGTGCCAAGTGGACTGTATATAAGATGGCCCACCAAATCGATGTTGTCGCCTTCAAATACTCGTCTATTATAATGTATAGGAAATACTTTAAGGTGGGTGTGCACTTGAAACGGTAAGAAATGAGATAAACATTTAAAACGATAGCAATGTAAGTTTCCTGAAATACATTTTCCAAAATTTAATAGTGGGAGGAATCGAAGAGGAAAGGGCAACATTGTTACCAAACTTGGTGTTTTTATTTATCCTGTTCCAAATGTCTTTTTGACATTTGAAAAAGTGCAAAGATCATCAAATTTGGGCGAATTGATTTAAATCGCAGCTGTCTATTTTTATTTAGAATAAGCCACAATTTTACTTTAAAACAAGTTTATTTTGACGTTTCGATTTACACAAATCTTTCTCAAAATACAAAACATTAATAAATGTTTTGTCTTTTGAGAAATGTGTCTTAAAAATTGCTTACATTTGAATATTACTTAATATAGTTAATATTTGTTAATATAATATAAAAGTATTAAGAAATTCTCAAAATACAAAACATTAATAACATTTATTAATGTTTTGTATTTTGATAACGATTTCCGAAGTGTAAATCAAAACCTCAAAATAAACTTATTTTAAAGAAAAATTGTGACTTATTGCTTATAAAAATAGTGTTAGGTACCTAAGTCCGATATTCCCCGTGTAAAGGCGGGTCGCTTTAGTAAAATACCTTCACAATTTCTCCTGCTCGTCGTAAACGGCGGGCGTCTAGTTGGAGCAGCTGTCCGCTGACCTTTCCCAGGTCCTATCTCCTTGTGTGATAGTAAATACTCCCAACAATCATACAACACCTAACCGTACCCGTCATACACGTCTTGATACCCAAACCTATACCCGAGCAAAAAACCTTCACGAATATAAAAACTAGTGGAGAAAACCACTGAAAACAAACGGATATGCATAGGGCAGACGGCTACACATCATCCTAATATACCGTCTCCCAACCTCAGCGTGTAACACCATCGTGCCAAAGGGATGCATGGCCCAGGAGTAACATAGTAGGCTACAAGCGATGGCTAAGGGAGATGACAAACTTAAGTAGAAAATAGCATTGGCAGGGTAAGGGCGCAATGCCGCACTGGACTGATTAGTACGACCCAACTCGTGGGAAGAAAGATAAGAATGCAAAAGAAAAATAAAAAAGACGAAAGAGAGAGTAGTGGGAGTGAGGGGGAAAGTAGAAGAGGGGGGGAAAGAAAGGGATGAAACTCGAAGGGAGAAAAATTGGAGAAGAGAACTGAAACAAAAAAAGACAGAAACAGAAAACCAAGAGAGAGGAAGAAATAAAGAGAAAAGAAAGAGGAGGAGAAATCAGTCTGAAGAACGGAAAACATAAAATGAGGGAGATTTTAAGGAAATGAAACGAAGGAAAGAAAGGACAAGCGAGCAGCTCTGACGATGAATGGAAAAAGCAAAAATCAGAAAAATAAAATCAGGCAAGAGGACAGAAACGACCAGTTCGGGGGAAAAGGAACAGCCACTCAACTACAAATCTAGATCAAAGTTGGAGCGTCTTCAGGACAGCGTAGCGAAACTCGAGAAACTCATGAGAGAGGTGCCAAATACAAGGCTATCCATAAAGAGGGAGGTCAACAACCTGAGAAATGGGATGCTCGATTATATCGAAGAAGTGGGAGAGAATAAGAAGGAAGAAGGGGCTCCAAGTAAGTCTGTGTGCATGACATCCAGAGGCGTGCAGATTAACATGGAACCCTTCAAAGTTAATAAGATGGTGGTTCATTAAGGAAGCCAGAGAAGTAAACAATAGAGTTAATAAGTAAAAACTGACCGGAGGAGGTTTTCACGAGTACCGTGAAAGAGTACGACATTTCGGAAATAAGAGGAGGCGTGGCAGTCTTTGTCACCAAGAACGACGAGGACAACAAAGCCATGGAAAATACCAAAGCTATATTTCCGCAGCTACCAGGTACTCCAGCGGAGATGGACGAGGACGGCGGACCGGGAACTATGAGAGTCGCGATGTCTGTCCATAAAGATGGAACGTGAATCCACAAGGAGAAGTGTGAATTCAAACTTCTCCCAAACAAGATGAAAGAACCGGAGCCAATGAAGTTCCTACAAACGTGCAGTAAACTGGTACATAAGATGGAGGAGCTAGGAAGAGAAAACGTGGGAATCAACAAGCCGGAAGCACTGAAAGTTGAAACATCGAGGAAAATTCTGGAGTGGGTTGCAAGAGGAAGGGGTGTGACGATCACGCTCCTAGGCAAAAAGCAACAAGAAGGTGGGCCAACATCAACACCAAGCCCAAAGAACAAAATGGAATCGTAATTATGGAGTCATTAGCAAAAGCAAAGAAAAATCATTTGTGGGTTTACTAACAGGAAGGAACGACACCGATATAAAAAGGATCAGACACATCAGAGACCAAGGAATATCACTAGAGCTGGGCGGAGGACTTGAAGAAACTTCTCTCTGATACATGCGTGTCGAGGGCGGTGTCAAAGGAGGGCATCGTGAAGAGAAGAATCTTGGTACAGGAAATCACACCCAATACAATGGTGGAGGAGAAGCAAAAAGCTGCAGAAGTAGCAGCTGGCAAAGGACGGGTCTGTGCCGTCATAAAAATTTGGACCGAGACACGAGGCGAAGTAAGAGGGATAATGGGTGCCGTGATGGATGTGGATGAAGACGTGGCCGAAAAGATCCACAAAATGAAAAGAATAAAAGTAAACTATACATCCTACCGAGTAATAGAGTCGAGGGTAGAAATACTGAGATGTCTCGCCTTTGGACACAAGCAATGGCGCTCTAAGGGGCAGAGCAGAAAATGATAAATTCGAGAAAACGCTCAAAGTTCAACCTACTGGTTGAAAGTAAATATCAGTTAGAATTAGCCTTAAGAAGAGTGCGCGAGTGGACACAATACGAAAGAGAGTGCGAAAGAAATCCGAGGCTAAGAAATGGTAAACACAGGAAACAAGACCCGACAGCTGAGGGTAATCCAAACAAACGTGGGGACGGCAAGATCTTACCGAAGCTGCCGCAGTAGAAAAAAACCTCGACGTGCCGGTTACGGCGGAGTCAAATTCAACAGCGGTGAGGAGAAAAGGATGGTTTGTGGATACCACTGGGAGGGCTAATATATGGATCTACAATAGGAATCTGCGATGCGAATTTATGAAGTAAGGCCGAAAGATATGTGACCTGTGATATGTAATAGCGGCGAGAGCAAGAAGCCCTAAAGTTTTGCCAGACTACACCGAACGGAGCATCGGTACATCGGATTCTCGACAACCGGAACGGGGCCACTGACGCGGTCCGTGCGTCCGGGAAGTCGGGAGGCGGATGCGGCGATAGGAATAACTGGAAAGTATACGAGAAGCTGATTAAATGGGGAGTTAGCATGATGCAGGATCAATCAGCGACGGTGAAAAACCTGGAGATAGTCATTAAAGAAGCGATGGAAGAAGATGTCAACAGTATGCCATACTAGTTGAATGAGGGCATCGAGGTATTGAGAAATGAATATATAGCAATGAGAAGAAGGTTAACGAGAGCAAGAGGCAGAGCAGAAATTAACCCTGATGTCATTGAGGAGATCGAGGAAGAGTATCGCGTACGGAAGAGGAAACTTTACCAGAAAATTCCTACAGAAAAAAGAAGACACTTGAAAGAGCTGTGTGAAAAGTTGGATAAGGACTCTATTTGTCTTTTTAGGATTTCCTAACTGTAATATTAATATGATCCAAGTATATGAGATCGAAAAGTTTTATTCAAAATTGCACAATATAATCAAGTTAACAAAATCTAAAGATATTACTTACATTTTAGGAGACTTTAATGCAAAAATTGGAGTAGGTACAGTTGAAAATATAGTTCGACCCCATTGTAAGAAACCAGATAGACTTTATACTCGTAAATAGCAGATATAAAACTCTATAACCTCAGTTAAAACTTATCCTGGGGCAGATGTTAACTAAGACCACAATCCGTTAGTTGCTGACGTGAAAATAAAATTAAAAAGAATTGAACTCAGAAAACAACAACCAAAACGAATAAGCGAAGAAATAAAAAACGAATTAAAAAATAATGTGAATGTTAACATGCAATAAACACTAACTGACAACAAACAAATTATAGATGTAAATAAAAAGTGGTATAATATAAAAAACATATTACCGAAACCAGCTCAAGAAAGTTTGATACAACATAGGTCCGAGGCTAAAAAACAGTGGATGACAGAAGAAATAATATTACAGATGGAAGAAAGAAGAAAACATAAAGGAAAAGATCTACAAAAGTATAAAGACATACAATTAATAATTAAGGAAAAAGTAAAATAGCTAAGGAAATCTATTTGATGAAACAATGTAAAGAGATAGAAGAACTAGAAACAAAATATACGAGAAATATGCACAAAAAAATAAGACAAGTGACTGGAATGGGTCGAAATAGACAGCAAGGACACATAAAAAACAAAAAAGGAGTACTACTAATAGATTTACCAGAGAAATTAAGACGATGGGAGGAGTACGTTAGAGAACTTTTGCAAGATGAAAGAGGTGAAATGCAGAAAATACAAGAATTAAATCCTTAGAGGGACAGAAGATCACGATAGATGAAATCAACTAACCATCATCTAACCATAGAACTGTTAAAGCTAGTGGAAGAGGATAATTTGGAAGTATTGGCAGATTTATTCAACACGGTGTACGATACGGGAATAATACCACAAGAGTGGCTGAAGTCAGCCCTAAAAAACAAGCA